GCACGCACGCACGCACGCACGCACGCACGCACGCACGCACACACAGGCATGGTCACGTTGCTCTCAGCGCCACGGTGACGTGTTAATAACCACACTGTAATTTGTCCGTTGAAAATCAAGGCTTAATAATTGGGGAAGGATAATTCTATCTAGATATTATTATAAATAGAGATTTAATTATAGATATATTATATGGATATTACTAGAGGTATCGCAGTACACTCACGAATGTGACAGATCCACTCAGGTGCAGCACGTTATTTTTGTGACTTACAGAAATATGCTAAATGTTAACTTGTCTTTGTCTGAGATCATGCGTGCCATGCTGATATTTCTGATACCACGTATGCTATCTAACCTGAAGTCTTCGTAGCTGAACAGTTCTGCTGGCTATCTTCTTGTAAGGGTCTACAACCTTTCCCCTGATTCTGTAAAACATGAAATAGCAAATGTCTTAATTTAAAATGAATTTTAACCCTTGGGTTTTGCACAAAACAATGTTGATTAACTGTCCTTGCGCCAAATAGCATATAACAAGTAGCGCCACCTACCGCTCAACGGACGACTGAAGTGACTGGATTCTAGTATTCATCATTTCGAGAACACCTGACAAAGAAAGTTGGGCATAGTAAACACTGAAATTCTCTTCATTTAGCTTCCCATAGTTCAAGTGCATGTTTATATTAACCTGGTTTAGTAGATATGCAAAATCATTTTATTGTTATCCGTTACACACTAATTGTACAGGCATACACCCCGTAACTAAATACTGCATGTAATAAATGAAAGGTTGCACAATTCGAGGAGTATGACTATGGCCATGGCTAACCTTCTAGACTCTCTATACCAGTGGCTTGTGAAAGAAGATCTTTATGGTGCGCAGCTACCTGTAGAAAATAATCCAAAGTGGCTTAACTATAAGAAAACATCAAAGGTATGGCTCATAACCATGTTTGTAGTATCCAAGTATGTGCATGCTAGGTTATGCAAAAAACCTATATACATATACTTGCTGATGTAGCCTGACCAGGCTGTGAGACTAATGTCAACACCAGGGTTCTCCAAGAGCACTTATAGCCTGGCGGCCCGCCAGGCTATCGTCGAGCCCCGCCATCCTAAAATGCACCCACCACTCTAAATATCATAGCCGCCATGCTAAATATCATAGCCCCCGGAACCCCCTAGCACGCAAACCGCCTTCGCCGATTTGCAACTAGGACCGTAAAGGCAGCACCCCCATGCTATAATGAAAAAGCTTGGAGAACCCTGAACACATAGCATGACTCCCATCCATTGGAAAATCTTTGATCTATAAAAATTGCTTTTGTAAACTGCGCCGACTATAAGTTTTTAAATAACAAGAGTTTCAAATAGAATTCCATTGTGCGACTATTTTTTGATCAGCTATATAGATGCACGAAGTGCATGGGTCACACGATACAAGTATTAATTAATTACTTTGACTAATGTACATCTGTGAGATATGGCATTGTACCATCCAAAGCAACTTTTTGTTTATCAGGCTACATGATCAACTTATTGCCTATTGAGAAGTGCCCGTGTATCAAGAAAACAGTATATACTATATAGCTATTGGTTGAACATCACACCACTTATAGACATAGGCTTGGTAGACTCGCAGCTAGGGCCTGCATACCTCCCAAAGTTATACTCGGTCGGGTTTTTAACACATTCTAACTATAAAACTGTTACGTTAAAAATTCTTAAAATATTTACATAAACAGGCAAGACGGTTGTCATTTTGAATACAAAGTTTTATTTCCTATCGTAGTTTATTTCAAAAGTAATATCAGCCAAGTTGATACCTTGACTCGATTGCAACACTTGCTGGTCAAATATAGACAATATGGCGCGGGCGATCTAGCGGGCGTGGTAGCAACTTTCGGCTGATATAACTTTTGGAATAAACTACGATAGGAAATAAAACTTCGTTTTCAAAATGACAACCGTCTTGCTTGTTTATGTAAATATTTTAAGAATTTTTAACGTAACAGTTTTAGAGTTAGAATGTGTTAAAAACCCGACCGAGTATAACTTTGGGAGGTATGCGGGCCCTAGCTGCGAGTGGTTGGTAGTGTAATTGACATGTAATATAATAATTAATAATGTATACCTGAGAGTGTAGTTCTTTATCAAGAAGACTAATACCGCTGGCAAGCTTTCCCAGCTGCTCAGCGATGGCGAGACTCTGAATGACTCTGGTTGCATGGCTTCTCACATCAAAGTCATCCTTCATAAACTCGTTAAACACTTCTAAATAAATTATAATTAACAGAAATTAACATAGAATTATATTTAAAATACAAGTTGCCTTTTAAGCTATGACTGCGATTTATAAAATCACTGCAAACATTATATTTCCCAGTCTAACTACTAACTACTCTTACCTAAATGTAATAGATAGGTTAGTGTTGTTTTGTATTGTTGTTACTGTCGTATATATATTATCGGCTACATTGGTCTGGTGTCTACGAAACTAATCAAGAAGTAAACACGAAAACCTCTAGAGGAGTTGGCGTGAAATTAAGCTTAAATAAAAAATCATGCTCGGAATGTCTACATATTCATAAGTGCATACAGCAAGAGTAGATATTGTACAAAATTCGATAATCATGATAAACAATGCTATATTTACCATCCGTCTGAATTTGATGCCACAAGTCAGTTTCCATGATGCCCACTTGTTTAAACATGGATGCGCCCGTTAAGCAGCACGTCTTCGTCATCATATTTACGAAAGAAAGAATACCATGATATCAGATAATGCACAAAGTGACTATGTAAATGGGAATTTTACGTGGAAAAAACCATTGGAGTTGTTTGAAGGGAAAGATGCCGTTAAAATATGCGCACCAATGGTCAGATACTCGAAGTAAGTGCCAGTGGCACACTGGCAGTGGCACACTCACTGGCAGTGCCATGCAGTGCAGTGCCAGTGCCAGTGCCAGTG